AAAAGCCTTTTTCCAAAAGGTACATCTGGAAAAAGGGGGGTCGTCTTATAATCAGGGTCGTCTTATATTCGGGCCAATACGGTAATAACATTAAAGGGATAGTTCACCCCAAAAATTAAAATTCTGTCATCATTTACTCTCCCATCCCTCATGTCGTTCAAACCTTTCTTTTGTGGAACATAAAAGAAGATATTTATTTTTAAAGACTATAGAATACACTTAAAGGGACTTTGGTATTTTGAAGACTTTTGATAACAAAACTGTTTTGGTTACCAATGACTTTCATTGTATGAACAAACAATACTGAGATGTTTCTCAAATTATCTTCTTTTATGTTCCATAGTTTATGTTAGGCCGTTGTAGCCTAAATGTTTGTGTGTAATAATTTTTGTTGTTGTTGAATGAAATAGAATATTTCTAAAGCTACAATTTGTAATGTCTACTTGATACTTTCTCATTTAACACAAAAATATATTTAAATAATCTTTTGTGGGTATTTTCACAGTCAAATTTATTTTGCGATTAATTAATTAATTAGATTAATTAATCGAAACATCATGTAATTAATTAGATTAAAAATTTTAATCGACTGACAGCCCTAATATATATATATCAAAGAGAAAGCAGTTGTTTTAAATTGAAATAATATTTTACAGTACTACTGTTTTGTACTGTATTGTTGATCAAACAAATGGAGCCTTGATGAGCATAAGAGACTTCTTTTTAATACATTAAATAAAAATCTTACAGAGGCCACATTTTTTACTCTATACAACTAAGATCTCATTGACAGGCCTTGTAAGCATTTTAAAATCTCAGGTAACATCTTAAATTACCTTAGTTTACAAGACTGTGGGGATCATTGAAAGCTGTGAACTAAATCTGAACCTCATTTTGAATTCACTTTTTTTTTTTTTGGATTTTCAAATATATAGGGGTTGTGCAGCACAATGGAATATTTTATTCAAATAAGTCTCGGCACACATTTCTCTTCTAAATGAGGCGAGTTGTACTAAGAATGCATTGTGGGGTGCGCTTCTCTCCGTAGCCGTAGTTTCCCGATTCCTTTGATATTAATCAGACTGAAGTGACCGTACATTGTGCTCTGTGATTAAGGACAGCATTGCTCCCTTTCAAATTCCAATATTGCTTTCTCTTTATTTTGCACCTCCTCATTCTGAGCGCAGAGAGTCGAGTCGAGCTGAGCCGAGCTAAGCAGAAACAGAAGCGCTTAGCCAGCTGTATACGAGCTGAGTCTCATCTGTATGTGTTATCAGCCATGTCCCCAGGCTCACCTAGCCATACATTAGAGCTCACGCAAAAATGCAGGTATAACATTAAAAAAAGAGACACATATAAAGAAAGAGAAAAATAGAGAGCTGTATATTCTTCTCTAATAACCATGGGGACCTGAGCTGATATGTATTCATATAAGATAGCATATTAAAAATGATATTTCCTCACTGAAAAGAAGAAATAATTCTGAGCTCCTGGGAGTGAACTGATATATAAAAGCTTTTATATCTTTTCTCTCAGGCCGCAACAGACATGTAGCCTTGATCTAGTTTTATAGTGCAAATTCTCACTCATGTTCATCTCAACAGGAAGTCTCTACAGAATCTACCTGCATTCTCCAGATGTGTCTGGTTCCTCCTGGTTCTGCTCCATTAAAGGATGAGAATCCAAATGATGCATGACAATATAGACACTCATAACCTGCTGCAACATTTCTACAGCCCTCCAGCTGTTTTACAAGCATGCATTTTGTGGTCTATAGTTGTGTGTGGGTGCCTAAAGTCCACTTGCTAACAAATGAATGCTCAAATAAACATTTATCGTCAACTCCTCCAAAAAATTAATTATTATCAGATTCTGTGAGAGATTTTTCATTGTCATTACAACTCACTTTCGTTGATTATGCAGTTTTATACCTTGCTAACAAACATTTGGTTTTGTGGTTCAGTGATAAACATTGCACATTGTTGTTGTGAATTTAAACTGTCAGAATGACTTGTGATAGTCTCTGTGATAAATTTGCTGTCTTTTTTTAACGAAAACATAATATTAAATAAAAGTAGAAATTTATTTATTTCTATACTTATAAATTACAGAAAAAATAAATTATTTGTATTTTGTCTCAAAGCAAATTAAATGTTTGTTTTTTTTGGCAAGGGAAAATATAGTGTGACTCTTTGAATACCAACAAAACTACATGACTGATTGATAATGATGTTCATTCACAATTTGCTCACCTGTCAGGCGTTCTTCTCTTGCCGTTCTCGTTGACGTCCATCAAGAGTTCAGACGAGTCGACAGGTGACGTGGTGCTTGTGTCCAACAGGAGTTGCTCATGTTGGGCGAGATACTGAGCCGGGTTCTGCTTGGCCAGCCGTGCACAGTGCACCAGCTCCCTCTGCAGTAGCGGCAGGTTGGCCTGAAGGGGGAGATAGCGGTCAGGATGTGCTGAGCAGATGTAGCACTATGAAGCTGTCCACAGCCAGAGCCTCTAAACACCGCTTTTTGTTTACTCATTATTATCATTACAGGTACATTCTTCCAAAATAAAGACACTCTCGCACCGTTTCGAGCAGCACTCTATTGTGACCTGAAACATGCATTAGTGCCCTGGGCCCTTGATATGAGCAATCATGGTCAACATAGAAAGTGACATCTTCAAAGCAGATGGTTTGGAGGGGGGGGGAAGGCACGTTAGCTTTCTTTCTGTCTCATTTCCTCTGCATCTCCGTCGTGATTACTAGCTGGCCTGGCTTTCTCCAAAAGCACTTGGAGGCCTTGCCACTTTAAAGACACACTGAGGAGCATTTTCACGGCAGATGAAAGGTTTTTGTGAATCCCCATCCAGCAACAGTCGGACTATTGCAGCATCTAAACAGCACAAGGTGTTAGTTGGAGGATGATGTCTATTTTCTCTCTTTCTGTGCTTTCTTCATCTCTGTTTTCTTTCTTTCTTTCTCTATGGCCTGTGACTCTGATCTAAGACTATAATCAAACATCTTTTCAGCTCTGTGAGCCGGGTTCTGCTTGGCCAGTCGTGCACAGTGCACCAGCTCCCTCTGCAGTAGCGGCAGATTGGCCTGTAGGGGGAGATAGCGGTCAGGATTTGCTGAGCAGATGTAGCACTATGAAGCTGTCCACAGCCAGAGCCTCTAAACACCGCTTTTTGTTTACTCATTATTATCATTACAGGTACATTCTTCCAAAATAAAGACACTCTCGCACCGTTTCGAGCAGCACTCTATTGTGACCTGAAACATGCATTAGTGCCCTGGGCCCTTGATATGAGCAATCATGGTCAACATAGAAAGTGACATCTTCAAAGCAGATGGTTTGGGGGGCTGGGGGTGGGGGGCGTTCGCTTTCTTTCTGTCTCATTTCCTCTGCATCTCCGTGGTGATTACTAGCTGGCTTGGCTTTCTCCAAAAGCACTTGGAGGGCATCGCCACTTCAAAGACACACTGAGGAGCATTTTCACGGCAGATGAAAGGTTTTTGTGATTCCCCATCCAGCAACAGTCGGACTATTGCAGCATCTAAACAGCACAAGGTGTTAGTTGGAGGATGATGTCTATTTTCTCTCTTTCTGTGCTTTCTTAATCTCTGTTTTCTTTCTCTATGGCCTGTGACTCTGATCTAAGACTATAATCAAACATCTTTTCAGCTCTGGAATATTCTTCAGTGTACTCCCACTGTGCGCCTTTTCAGTGATGTAATGGCTAAAATTAGGAGCGGTGCGTTGATTGAATATTGAACAAAGCACAATGAAAGCACAAGAGTTTAAAGAAAGTGTGGCCAAAATTTTGCTGCTGGTCATGATGAAGATTAAATGGCAAAAATAAAAAAATTAAAACATAAAAATGTAAATAATTAAAAGTTATTCTGATTTATTTTAATGATGATAATGATGGGGATTGTTTATAAAGGACTGCCTGGTCGCCAGCTGTATGAGGTAATGGTCTGTTAGTAGTTTATGCTGATAATTACCAGAGGCCAGTGAAATTGCTTTGACCCTCATTGACCTCAGACTTTCATTAAATGGAGGTCCTCATAGTTAGTGACAGTTCACATACACCATGTACACTGCAAAAATGATTTTCTTAATCATTATTTTTGTCTTGCTTCCCAGTCTTATATCAAGAAACATTTACTTGAGAAGCAAAATGACTTAAGAATTTTCTAAAAAATGTATCAAAATTAAGTAACTTTATGAATAAGAAATACAATATCTGCCAATGGGGTAAGAAAAATAAAACTTGTTTTGTTTTTACACTATTGGCAGATATATTTCTTGTTTAAACTTACCTAATTTTGACACATTTTATAGAAAAAAAGACTTGATATCACAAGTAATTTTGCTTTTAATCTTAATTCATCTTGTTTTAAGAATGTTTAGATATTTTGTTTAAGACAAAACACTGAGGAAGAAAGTAATTCTTGCAGTGTATTTCAAGATAACGAATAAGAAAAGCTTATTCATCCATAAAAGTTAGAACAGTCTAATTTGCAATTTTATTGTTAATCATTATCGATTTTTTTATTCAATCCAGTAAGACTATAAACATGCAAAGATTTGACATTTGCTTTGATTATGTCTAAGTGTATTCTCCAGCTCCTGTGTGGTCCATTAGCACACAGCTAGCTGGAAACCAGCATATCAAACACAAGCCGCAAAGCAGTTTGCCACGTATATGTAATCCTCACTTCCTCTGCACCGCTAGCATGTGGTGAAGCGCCGACTATGTCACGCTGAGTACGTCTCTGAGCAATGAGGCACAGAGCCGCAGAGGAACACATGTGCTTACAGGCTTTATGGAGCCTGCTGAACGAAACGGCGGCTAAATATTACAAATTTATCAGACGAGGAATCCATTTAGAGAAATCATAAACAAAAGCCATCAGCACAAAGGCCGTCAGCTGGCGTCGAATTTGGATTACCTCATTAGCGTGATGCACACTGCCCTTCCTGTAAACACTTCCCCGCAAAACCCAACTCTGACGGGAGGGTCGCTAGACAACATTAGCCTAATGAAAAAACGCTGCTAATGCACATTGTTGCAGCTGCGCTTCTGCACACTTATAAAAGCCCCTGTTCCCACAGCCATATGGTATTTGTCATTAAAGGCTCCTTTGAGGAAAACCACTAAAATTAGACGAGAGGGAGAGAGGGAGCGAGACAAAAAAAACCCACAAGTTGCATCTTTGATACCAACCCTCCTGACTGGATGATACAGTAACCATATGGCGTGGAGCTGCGCGAGAGGGAGCGAGTCAGGGAAGTGTCCCTGTATGCTTCTCTGCATCCGTCAGCGACCGGAGCAACCTCTAATGGGACAAATTTTTGTGCGACAGAGCCGGCCAGGACAAGCAGTGGACAAGATGAAATGCCTCCGAACGGCGTGTCACGAAAACAGACGGACTCCTTTCCATCATCGTCTAATGGAGTAAACAACACAGATTTGATCCATCTCCACTGGTCGCTTATTTCATTATTATGGAAAGGAAGACGGAAGAAAGCAAAGCACGAGAGAAAGATGGGAAACGGGGAGGGGGTTGAAGGTTAGACAAAGAGGGAGGGAACGGGTAGGTTGGAGCGCCATACGTAATAGCTGTCACTTACAAGCAGATGAAAACGAATGGCTAACGATTGAGGGTGGATGGATACAGCAGTCACCATATGCTCATGAGAATTTAATCTCTATCAAGCGCTGATGTCTATTTGCAACATATGTCATAAATGAACAAATTATACATTCGCTTTGCAGGCTACAATCATTTTAATCTCGAACACGATAATGTGATAAAAAAGTATGGCGTGTGTAACTCAAATACTTCCCATGGTCGAAAGAATAATATACAGAGTGTTTATTTGAATGGTTCGTGTTAAGTGCTCCAACATAAACAGGCCCTGAGACACATTTAACTGCAATGAAATAAGGGCCGCAGTGACAAATGGGCGGCAGAGAGGGCAAAGGTTGATATTCTCCCAGACAACAGATCGTCTTACTGTGGTAATGGTTTCAGATGTGCCCTGCCCTCCAAAATTCGGCGTGTGAGAAAAGCGAATGAATAAATAGAGACAGTGTGTAGTGGGACGGGCCCGTATGGTGCTGTTATACTGATTAATGTAGGTTCACATCATGAGATATTAAAAAATAGGTCCCAGTGATCAAGAAACCTGATGCCTCTTTGCTCATGAGGAAACCACGCATCCACTTTGGCCATTTAAAAGCGAGAGATGAAAAAAATGGCTGGGAGAAATATGTACATCTGTGCCTCAGTTGTTTAAATGTTTTCCAGATTGCTTGTGCAATACCTTCAAAAAGGGGATGACAAAAGGTCGGAGTGGGAAGTTGGTCGCTTCTTGCAGTTTGGAGTGGAATTCCTCAATGGTTAGAGTGGAGTTCTGCAGGGAGAGAGGAAAAAAGAGGGTGCACGCATGAATACATGTGGAAAACATTATGTGATAATATTACTTATTGGAGGCAAAACTATATCCTGCTGAAGATTGAATGATTTGAAGACTGTAATGGGAGGCATATGGATGGCTGTGGTGAAATGCCTCATAAGGGGAAGTTTGATCTGGAGGCTTTTACATGTGCATGAGCCGACCGCATCTTCATTGCGTCAACAAGCACACACACAAACACGTATGCAAACAAAACTACAGATGCAGTATCACACTGCGCAGCTTGCTCTGCGAGATAAAACATGGCATAAACATCGTAATGCATGCAGAAGATATGCGGATTTAAAAAAACGTGTCATTCCCTACCGAACTGAAATATATCTCACCCGTTAAACTCGGCAGTGTAAAAAAAAGAGAAATTACTAATTTCAATCTTTCCTGCTCTCTGCTCTATCATCTTTTAACAGACTGATAGGACTGATAGAACACTATTTTCAATTTTCTACATGTTATTTCCAAGAGAGCTAGCGGAAGGAAAGATGGGAAAGAGAGCGAGAAGTCGTACATTTGAGAAAAATACACAGCTTTTTTTCTCCCCTCATTTCCCAGACCTGAATTTTGTTACATTAGGCTTACATCTGTTCGGCCAGATTGCAGCGGCCTGTTTTGACAGCCAGAAAGCCTCCTGAGCTTTTCTCCAGCATCGGCGGCGCTAATTAAGTGTGTCACTCTTTTCAATAAGGCAGAGTGGGGAGCGAATTAAAAAGAGCCACGGAAGCCAAGGGGACACAAGGAAGCCTCTGCATGTAGACACAGCAAAAAATAAACAAATGCCCGCTGAAAAAAAGAGCTTTCCTTTGGAATGGCTAATTAAAGCAGCCCTCCTCTAGTACAGGCTGCTATTTCACCATTGTTTATTCCATAACTACATATTAACGAAAATAACGCTGTGGTATAGCTTATGGTGCACATCTTGTCAAGTGGATTTTTTTTTTCTTTCTTCAGTTATGTTGCTATACTTAGCTACAGATGTGTTCTATTTGATTTATTGTTGTTGGACAAACCTTTATTTTCTATTATGGAAGCCAAACAAGATTTGGTGGCAAAACCTTTTTGGTGGCAAGAAAGCAAAACAAATCAATTTCTACTGTCTGTAAACTTTTCAGGAGACATAATAATTACTAGTATCCTGTCAGAGACAACTGCTTTTTCTTAAAGACTATGAGTCAGAATATACACTTTACGCTATGTTAGAAAATCCTTTCCCATTAAAGTCGTGAAGAAATGGAAGTAGTGACAGATGTTTTCTTCCACATTGCGACGTACATTCGAGTGAAACAGATTATCAAAAAGAATAAAATGTACTGTAGGGTGGGGACTTGGTTCAATTCATTGGTTGTTGATTGGAATTTAAGATTTCAGAGTAGGGCTGGGCAATATGACCAAAAAAATATCACATTTTTTTCCCCATACCAGTCGATATCGATAATTATCACGATAAATTTCAAACTTTTATTTATTTAAAGTTTAAAAGCAGATTTTTGCTTTTAAAGGGGTCATCGGATGCCCATTTTCCACAAGTTGATATGATTTTTTAAGGTCTTAATGAAAAGTCTATAACATACTTTGGTTAAAATTTCTCAATGGTAGTGTAAAACAACACCCTTTTTACCCTGTCAAAAACAGCTCTGTTTACAGCAAGCTGTTATGTTGCATGTTGCTTTAAATGCTAATGATCTCTGCTCACCTCGCCCCTCTCTTCTGTGGGGTGACGAGCTGTGCTCTGAGAGACTGTTTACTTTAGCCGCATTTAGCCGCGAAACTTGCTAACTTGCACGTTATTAGGAAAGGCGATTGCAAAGATTCATAAAAAAACCCTTATACTCACTTCTGCTGTAAGTGAAGCTGGATCACGAATGTTTCGCGGGAACATAGATGCATTTAGGTAGATTTAGAGGCGCATTCCCATCAAAAACAAATGTAATCCACTGCGTCTTCAGAGGCTCAGATGTCGGGAGTAAATGACGTTTACTATGTTCATTATTACATCCAACAACAGAACACCTCAATTGCTTAGGAGACATTCTTGTCTACATCTGCTCCGGCGTCGAAACAATAGCGGACTGATGACAGCTCACTCAGGGCGGGTCTAAGGTAAGACGGCAGTGTCAATCAACAATTGTTGGAGGGGCCTTCGTCCGTGTGACGTCACACAGACAAGAAGCTGAGAACGGCCTGATTTGAAAAAGGGGATATTATTTTTAGGGATTAATTAAAAACACTGAGTAGATTTTTATCATTATAGGGTAGATCTGTACACACACTGCCAACACACATTTATGTTCAAACAACATGTAAACGTAAATTTAGCATCCGATGACCCCTTTAAGTGAAAGTTGTAAAATCCAGACCGTTAATTGTGGTTTTAAACTACTCTTTATGATCAGAACATGACAAACGCTTCCCATTTTAAAATTCTTTACCAGTCATGTTTCCTTTTATATGGTTCAAAGTTTAATTATTATGACTGTTTTGAGTTTTATTAACCTTTTCAGTGGTGAGTTTAAAATATTCTAGCGGTCCCCCCAGAGTGAGTTTGCGCTGCAGTTCAGAGAGTCCTGTCAGTCGGATTTACAGCACGTGACTTCATCAGTTTCTCCCGAAATACATGCAAATAAGTGGCCGGTGAACTGGGAGAAGAATAGAGTGAACTTTATAGTTACTTACACTATGTGTATCTGATATTAATAAAACACGTAGGCAAATTATATTTGAATGGATTGTTATTGCTGCTTCCATAAACATCCGTGTGTATTTTACGAACTTTAAAAGTATTGTTTTACTAGTACTTATATGTATTTAAATGTCTGAAACCTAAAATAAACATTATGTGGTTAAAAACACTGCATAGTTGTGATTATATGACAAGTGCAGCGGCGTCTCAGCGTCAGCCAAAGCGCGAAAACGCAGTTTGAATTTGGCAGTTATGTGATGTCACCGAACGTTCTAAATCTCATATGTGGGACTGTACTCCCAGGGGCACGGAAATAAAAATCCCATATGTGGGACCGTACCGCTCAACGGGTTCAAATAAACCATTGGTCTTCCATAGTAGCATACATTTAGATCATGATAACCACAGTTAAAACCACACATATAGCACACCTCAATACCATGGTAAAAATGTAACTATATAGTTTCTAGGTAATTGCATGAAAAACAGTAGTCTAAATACATTTAGTACAAATGCACAAACATTATAGCTTAATCACAAAAAATACTGTAATTATAGATAAACAGTCTGTGTGGCACGGTTCAAATGAATAGCGCAGTTTCGTTCCACTTTTGCCACAAACATTATATCGAACATTTATCGAACTCTTGTTATCGTTTTGTCGAAGAAAATTAAATTGCAGTAATTATCGCTTTATCACCCAGCCCTATTTCAGAGACAGGTGAATACAAACTTGCAAGGGTGGGGTTTAAGCTGTCTAAGAGAAGTCCTGCATATGTCACCAGAAAGAAGCCTATCATTTCACACAAAGATAAAGTTTTGACAAAAAATAAAAACAAGTAAGTGCCACACAGTTTGTGACTGCAGACTTACCACAAGCCCCAACACCAGGGTTCGCACTCGTTCTCCGATCTCAGGTGAGATGTCATTGCCGAACTGCTGTAGTGTCGTGAGAAAACGTTTGAGCTTGCTGAGCTGTCTTGCACCACAGGCCGGCGGCAGCTGTTGATTGGCCAGCGAGGACGAAGATGATGATGAAGGCCCATTGCTGAAACCATTGGGTGGAGATGGAGCTCCATTCAGTGCAGTGGGAGAGTGATTGGTGCCATTCGTTACTGGAAAACAAAGTTTATTATTTCTACATGCCACAAAGAGAACTGTGGCGTTTATTTTTAACCCAAGCATTATGGAATGATCTAAACCCAAAAGATTCATATTAAACATGGCCAGGAACATTCCTTTAAAAGAAGCAGCAAGCAATCCTTTGTCAAAAATGACACTGGCATATGAATGCCTGTGACTGACGGTGCTTGAATGAGGCTCTTGTGACAGTGGAACATTTGTTTTGAATCAGCCACGGCAGCTTTGAGAAGGAAGCCGTGCGTTCTTGCTTCCATACATCAGACATATTAAGTCCAGAGGAGGAGAATACATGTGGTCGAGTGCCCCCCGTGCCACGATGAGAAACATACGCGATGGAGGGATGCAGCTTGGAATCAACGTCTCTCTAATGAGATTAGGCTGCGTGATAGCCTCGTTTGCCTGGCCTCCCTCCAACAGAACAGAAACGAGATACTTGAGCTGCATCTGGTAACAATTACATGGAGGGGAAATCAAAGCGCTTGCTTTGTTAAACCTTCAGAATGTATAATTAGAGTCTGCCTTTAAAAAGGCTCCGGATTGCTTCAGACCCGGCTTGCTTTTTGTCTCTTTTTTCATAAGCGCTAATTGCAGAGTCCAACTGATCTGTTTTTAGGGATGTAACATCAGAGAGAGGAATGTGTTACTGCTGTTGACAGCACACCACTGCTCAATTACACTGACATGGTGCTGGGAGGCTGCGACACGGACCGTTTTCATAGCGAGCCGCTCTAGCGCTCCCCTGAGCTGGCATGTGTGATGCACTTTGTGGCATCAGCCAGCGGGCAGAAGCAAAAATCTGCAGGTCAGAAGACGAGGGGAAATCCTGTCGACTGTAATGAGGGGAGTGCAAAACTACATATTCTTTAAAATCATCAAAGTTGACGGATTATCTGAATGACTAGTCAACCAGTTGGCCTTAAAGGGGTCATATGATGCGATTTCAAGTTTTCCTTTCTCTTTGGAGTGTTACAAGCTGATTGTGTATAATTTTACCACTTTACTTTAAATTTTTTTGATTGTTCTGTGTTTTGATTTCTTTTGTTTCTGTATTTGTTTTGCATTGAAATTTTCTCTGCATTGTCATTCTTTGTCTTTGTAAGCATTAGAAAGGAGCTATTATTAGTAGTAGTAGTAATAATTAGGATGATTTATGATGCCTTTCCTCTATCTCTGACATTTAATGATTGCTGTATTTCAGTTATGAAGCAACCGTTACCCTGCACCAATTGACCATGGTAAAATGAGAGAATAATGAAAGTATGAGTAAAGAAAACGAAACAAAACAAAGCAAAATATAGTACGCTTTCTACGGCTAATCAAAAGAAAAAAGTATAAAATAATTTTGGACATAATTATTAATAATCACCGATTTTACAGAACTAGTGTTTAAAGAATAACATTTGACATACAATACATCACATCCAGTTTAGCAGTCGTTTAGCCATGAAAATTCGAATATTTTAATGCAGTTGACCGTGCAGTTGGATTTGAACTTGAAAAATGGTGTACTGACATCTTTGCGCATTTGAAACAAGATACTGTTTGAACTGAGGTGCTACAGCGATCTGTCACGACACATAAAAGAGCCATAAAATGGTATTTATTGTTTGAATTTCTTACAAAATTACTCAATTTGAAAGCTGAGACTTTGTTTTATACCAAAAGTAACCTGCGCTGTCTTGTCTGTCAATCGAAGCTCAAATTGGATCCGAAAATTTGACTGGAACTCCACACAGCTTCCGTACTACTCTCTATTGGATGCAAACACAACTGATTTAATATTTGAAGCACATTTCCTTCAAACCAACTAACTAGACAACAATACTGACACATCAAGAAATGTAAAAAGCCGGAAGATGGATTGGAATTCCAAATTTCGGCGTCAAAGTCCAAATTTTCAGCATGACACAAATACATATCACAATTTTTAAATGAAACAATGCATCTTTATAAACTCACTTTTTAATTAACCAATATGTAAAAATCTGTACTGCAATGACCTGGCTAGGCTAACTTGGTTAAAATAGTTTAGATGCTGGAAATTTATTTAGATATCCACACTTTTCAAGGAACAACAAAAACAAAACTGGACTCATTTTAAGAAAGGAAGTTAAGGTATTTTAGGACTATTTGATACTTTCATGGCATTCATATGCATTGGTCTTCTGTTGAGGTGTCCATGTATTGGCTGAGTACAGTGTGTGCTAGTACTCACATGCAGTGGGGGTGAAGGAGCTGGTCCTGGGAGCTCCCTGTGTGGTGGGGGGAGGAGGCATGGTGGGCGGAGTTAACCTGGACTGTGTTTTCACATCAGCAGGTGAGTCGGGCATGGTGGAGCGCTTCTCAGTGCGATCTGCAGAAGAAAAAGTGGAACAGTTCTTGTGAGACCTCAGTGATATCCCAACAGCTGCCTCTCCACAGCACCTGAGCTCCTGTAAGATATACACACACCGCTACATACACGGTACACGCCTTTAGAGAGTTCATAGATAGTAACACCAGTCAAATTCCAGCTGTCATCCCCATTTCCCTAATGATCAAAGACACCGGCAATACTCTCATTAAAATGTTTCAGAAATCTGGAGGAGCCCCACACAGGTCTTCAGCATCTACAACAGACATGTGATGTCTAAAGTACCCCGTTTCTCCAGATTAAAAAGTTAGTCGACCCATTTTACACTTGATTATGGTTAAGAATAATAGAAATATGTTGACTTTTAATGTACGTTTTATTGCATGTGCAAAACTTGCTGTCACAGTGCTTGTGTGTTACCATGTGTTGCTATGTGCTTACTAGGGTTTGTGAGTGATTTCTAGAGCATTGCTTGCTGGTTGGTCTATGACAATCTGGTCTCTAGATATGGCCTGGGTCTATTTCAATGCAATTTCATTGTTTGCCAGGCCAAAAAAAAAAGAGGTCTGCAAGAGGTTACTCATCTGTAAGTCTTTCTTCAAATTTGGTCTAGCAAAGTATTCTGGCCACTTCTGTCTAATTACTTACAGGGTTAGAACCAGTGTTGTTATTGTTAACTCAAACTAAAACTATTAAAAAAAAATGCTTTTGTTAATAAAGCCGAATTACAATAAAATATACATATTAAATTGAAAAACTTAAATGCAATAAGAAATGTTGCCTTAGTAACTAAATGACAGTTTTTAGGGCATGTGCATCCTTTTTTATATACTTTAAAATAGGGATGCACCGAATGTTCGGTAACCGAAATTATTCGGCCGAAAATAGCAATAAGCGAAAAGACCGAATAAACTGTACCAAACAATAATCACGTGACACGATCAAATAGCAACCAGCGTAGTGAGGCGTAGTCTCAGAGTGAGAGGTGCAATGCAACAAACATGTCAGCAGTGTGGAAGCATTTAAAACTTAAACTTACTTAAACTTTATGATTTTTTACAAGACACGTGACAATGCGATACGTGTGACGTATTCGTAATGAGACTCATTTATAAACCTTCTATCAACAAAAAGAAGCGCTGAGGTCTTCTTGCGCATTTCCGCCAAAATAAAAGAAAAAGCAAGAACTCCATCAACATTCATAAATGTTAGTATTGTAATTTTACTGTTGTTCTGTAAAATAAAATAAAAAAGACAATAATAATGATAATAATAATTTCAACAGCTCTGTTAATACATTTATTATAACATTCACACATAGTTATTGATTTTTTCTTTGAAAAGCAAGACAAAACAGTAAAAAGCAAATTTTGGCTATTTAATTTGTGCAATGGTTAAAAACATTGGCAAAATACATGGGGAAAAAAAACTCGAAAAAGCGTGTTCGGTATTCGGCCTTCGGCCCAGTGTTTCATTTTGTTCGGTTTCGGCTTCGGCCAAGAATTTTCATTTCGGTGCATCCCTACTTTAAAACCCTAGACAGCACAAAAAATGACATCTTGATGCTGTTTACTCCAGACGGTCATGTCTAACGCTGTGGTCTCATTTTAGTTGTTTTACAATATCAGCACCTGTATTGACCCATCAGCACCCTTGTTCTCTCTATTTCTTACATATACACAGACATGTATGCGTTGTACCAGCTGTGGGAACACTGTGTGTCAGGGCAAGCAGCCGCCCTTCGTCTGCGGCGTGTAGCCTGACTTTTCCCGATTACAACTGTCCTGGGTGTCCCTTTGACTCTGATAACAGCAGGGGCTCCTGTTTAACCCCTTCTTTTTTACACATCGTTCTCTTTTCAGCTTGTTATACTCCACAGAAGAATATTAAATACAGACAGTTGATAATGGCTATGTACAGTACCTCTTTTCAAAGATGTTTCACAGCTAAAGATAACAGCTATTGTTTTGCTTGCCATGTACACATTGCAGTATGATCTGAAACGAAAGGCGGGTGCTTTTAGACAACAACAGTCAGACCAGGAAAGCACAGGAGATAAAAAAGGTGGGAATTTCAGCTCTGTATGGCTCCCATTCCCTAGGCACCTCTGTGGCTGTATGTGTGCACCAGATCCTAAACATATGTGCCTGTGTAGGCTTAATCTGCCCCATACTTGCTCCCCATGCACTTTCAATCCTTACCCCAATTGAGAACATAGTTGTCCATGCTAAAAACAAAGCTTAAGCTTTATATATTACACATGCACGGATCCATCTATCCCCGCCGAAGCTAACCGTTTATTTGCTCTGATAAAGAAATTACAGAATAATCAGCAGGGGTCTTTAGTTTCACACCTACACATGTGCTGATTAACTGTTTTTTTTTTCTGTTTTGTCAAAAAAAGAAAAAGAAAAAGAAAAAGAAAAAAGAATGAAGATATGATGGACAGGCTACTGTGAAAAATCACTGCTGGTAATGTCAATGTGACATATAATTATTTCTAATAAGGCAACTCTGCATTTGTTCCATGATATTCATTCAAAAACAATGATAGAAATGAAAGATTCTGGAGTCAGTGAAAGGGATGAGGCAAAGGAAAGTGGCTTGATTCAACATTAAAATCTCAGTATGGGGCCAGTTATTACATTGAAATGTTAACAACGTGACAAGTCCAGGCACTATAATTCACAAGAGCCACAGCACAAGTCTGAAATGAATAAAATAGCCCAAGCGCTAGTGTGAAAGCTATTCTAAACCAATATGCCTGTCAGATCGCTGTAATTGGAAAATATCACATAAAATAGTGAAAAATTATATTAATTGTCCAAGACAGATAAGGTCTACGGGAAAGACTTTTATTCAGCTATGGTCTCAGAAGGAGCCCAGGGCAACATAAAAAGCAGCTTGTGGATCTACATGTGTAATTGAGGATTAACATCTGGGTCAAAGTTGGGATTGGATTGGGAATCGGGAAAAGAGAAACAACCCCGAGGTGTCTAAACCTCATCCTCTCTCCTTACCTGTCGGACAGAAATGGATGATAGGAGGTAAAAAAATAGGTTGTAATCTGCAAGCACACGTACATGTGTATGTTCACAGGCGTGCACAACATACACACTGAGATTCTGACCCTTGAAGACACAGGAAGGTATGAAAAAGTGGTGTAAATGTGGAACGTCGTCCATTCAGATCTGTCAGCACAACATATCCATTATGCTTAATATTTCCTTCACTGTTTCTTCTGAAATATTACACATCAGACAACTTAAAAGCATTGCACTTCCATAGTGTGCGTCATCCCATGTTCGAGTGAAATAATAATCACCATAATACATCTCACTTTTATACTGGTAGGATGGATGAATTCCGTACAAAGAACAATCAATGACTGTAAAAACCCATCTGAAGAAAAGGAAAAAAAGATGTTCAGATAAAAGCATTCTCTACTTTTTATATTATAACCTCACTATTTCCATCAGACCAAGAGTGTCTGGAAAAACTAGGTATTACATACATGGTATGGAGTGCAGGGTACATATGCACAATTTTTATATATTTTATCTCCTATTAGTCAAAGTAAAAAGAACTGCCAATAAAACTGCATTGTACAAGAGCAGCATTAAACCCACCTAAAAGAGGTAGACTGCGCAAATATGTTGTGGCAAAAAAGAGATGCATAACTCAATTCAAATGAATTCCCACTTGGAGTGGAAAAGAAGCAATTTTGCATTTTAAACAGGCTCAAAAACATGCCAGAGTGCACATCCATCCTGCCCTGATTTCATAAAGTTAATCTGTGCGGAGTTAACGCACAGAGTGCATTTGTTTGGCAGTTACCTTGCCTTTCAAAACGGGAAATTGGCGGACGAGCGGCACAGATGAATATTAGGCGGGCCACCACGGATATTGATGCAGCAAGAGATTTAATGTGGCTCCCAGGAAGGACGATGAAGTGCTTTCCATTTTCCTGTTAGGCAAGGTCTTTTATTGCTTTTCAAAAGAGCTCTCGAGTAATATGGATCGCCATTAAACGGCACGCCAAACTGAGCATTAGAAAGCACCGACTCGCTCATCTTCACTCCACGCCTGTTCATTTTTCATGACCCGACAGTGGCGGTGAACGTCTTGCTACGACGTGACTGGCTCTTCTAGCTGCTCCCCTTATATCTTTGTGCTTATATCCCCAATATGCATGCAAAAACACACACAGAAGTCAAAGAGGAATAAAAAACTTTCACACTATTTTATGAGACCACTACTAAAGACCAGCACGATTTGGTGCAGAACTGAGTCACATCCTTCAGGGTCAGTCAGTCAGTTTGCCTCTAAGATCTAAACAGTCAGCTGTGCTTGCTGTCTATTTGTACAGTCTTCCATGACGTTGAATAAAAAAGCAACTCCTTGCGATTTAATGACCATTTAAATAGTATTTATACTGAATAATAACATCCACCATCCATAAAACAGAGACACCACATAGGTGTCTCAAAGTCTCTTCTGTAAACACAGAATTATGTTTCACATTTTTTTACTTGTTTTTATTTGATTAAAAAAAATTTGTTTCATGGAGACAATTAGACTAAACAGTACATAATCTACACAGAATATTACATAGAAATCCAAAACAAACCAACCAAACAGCTAACCAACTATGGTCTGGCCAATGTGCTGGAATGGACAATGGACCATTTTTCTGGTTTAACATATTATAAGCTTTAAACTAATAGTCTCTACTTTTGTATCCTAGATATCAACATCACTCTTTAAAAATCCCATGTTATTTATCCATTAGTCTGGTCTGCTCCTTTCATACATGCACCCTGTCTTAGATCTTTTCTTCAGATAACGTAACCAGAAAAAAACATGAGACTGTTCGTATGTTTGACGCACACAGCTCGACTTACATGTCTCTTTCATCACTCACTGCATAAGTAGTAATGTTCAGCTCATTCCACAGTGGGTAAAACAGACATCTGTGTACACATGCAGTACATGAGGAA